AACTGAGGAAACAATTTTTTCAAATAATAAAAACTAGGATGACCTAATCTGTAGTGCAACAAATACACTTCATTATTACAAGGAAAAGAAATAGTTTGCAGACAAGCCTTTTCTTGGCTTTGTTTATTTAATTCAGTCCTTTCATCAAAAACATAGAGTCCATCTTCCTTTCTAGCACTGCCAATCATCCTCCCCGATGCCAGATCCTGAAAAATGCAATAAGAGGGATAAAATCTGACACAACACTGAAGGTCTTTGGTTAACTTGCTAATAGAAATAAGATTACAGGAAAGTTTTGGAACATGTAAGACTTTAGAAAGGTGAATGGATGAGGAAATATTGATATTTCCCATCCCTGCAATGGCTGAAAAAGAGCCATCTGCAACTTTGACTTTTTTATCCCCTGCACAAGGTGTATATGAAGAATAGAGATTTGGAATAAAAGTCATGTGATCAGTTGCACCTGAGTCAATGACCCAGGTGGCTTTTGTTTTTTCAGAACAGAAATATGAAGTAATTTTACCATTTTGGGCAAAAGAACAAGAAGGGGTTTCTTGGTTGGGTATTTTTTGGGTAGCAAGAAACTGGAGTAGGTGCTCTATCTGTTCCTTTGTGAAAGGAAACTGTTTGGAATTGACTTCCTGCTCTTGTTGAGTTTCAGTCATAGTAGTATTAAGAGCTTTTTCAAACTTCTTTTTTCCTGCCCCAGGTGGCTTCCCATGGATCTTCCAACAAGTCTCCCTTGTGTGCCAAAGCTTCTTGCAGTAATCACACCATGGCTTTTTCCTCTCTTCTCCCTTGACCACCAATGCTGAGGAGTCTCCAGTATCATTCTGAGGGCCTGGAGTGTTATTCATAATCCTTTTCCTGCTCTCTTCAACTCTGATTTCAGAGAACACCTCTCGGATTGAAGGCAAAGGCTTCTTTCCCAGAATCCTTCCCTTTACTTCATCAAAACTTTGATTAACTCCTGCCAGGAACATATAAACCCTGTCATTTTCTTCCCTTTTTTTGTGTTTGGCCAGATCTTTTGTACTTTCCCATTCATCATCATTGTATTGGTCCAACTCCTGCCATAGAGACACCATTTCATTGAAGTAGGTAGTGACATCTCTATCTCCTTGTTTGGACTGCCAAAGAATGGTTTTTATCTCAAAGATTTGAGAAGAATTTTCAAGGTCTGAGTAAGTTTCCTTTACGGAATCCCAGACCTCTTTTGCTGTCTTCATAAACATATGAGGTTTGGCAATTGAGGCCTCCATGGAGCTGAGAAGCCAGGCAGTGATAAGTGAGTTCTCTGATCTCCATGTGTTATAGCCTTCTTCACCAGAAAATTTTGGTTTGACTTCTCCCGTTAGGTACCCCAGCTTTCCCCTCCCATCAATTGCAAGCTTGACAGATTGAGACCACTCCAAATAGTTTTTTCCATTCAATCTATGACTGGTGATTATCATAGATGAATGAATAGGAGATTGGTAATTTGTCATAGAGCTAATTTGAGAGTTAGGGTTTGTCATATGGGATGAATCAGAATCTGTGGTTTCTACCATCGTACTGTGTAAACCGTGGCTCTGATACCATGTAGGTTTTCTAGGAATAAACTCCCTTGAATATTATTGAGCCATCCGGCATAGGTATTTATACAAAGTACAGATAACAGCTTTGCTGTTCAGATCCTAAAAAATAGGATCTTTCTACCTGCGTCCTTATCTAACAATTAATGAAGTCTATCAGTAGTCTATCTTCTCTAATTCTTATCTAATACACTACACACGTATATTAAATAAAAAATTACAAACATATGTCACATTTTCTACAAGTGAAGTATAAACCGGATGGTTCATTAGATCGCTACAAGGCTCGATTAGTGGCTAAGGGTTTTCACCAGCGCCCTGGGATTGATTATTCTGACACTTTTAGCCCGGTCATAAAACCGGTCACTATTCGTGTTGTCTTGACTATTGCTCTTTCTCGTGGCTGGCCGGTGCACCAGTTGGACGTCAACAATGCCTTCCTACATGGGACACTTCAGGAGGAAGTTTACATGAAGCAACCACCTGGCTTTAATGATGGTTCCAGGTTTGTATGTCGCCTTCGGAAATCTATTTATGGCCTTAAACAAGCACCTCGGGTGTGGTATCAGTCTCTTAGTGGATTTCTTCTCTTGCTTGGTTTTTATCAATCCGTTGCTGATGCTAGTCTCTTCATATTTTCTTCCCATCACTCTTACATCTATGTGTTGGTTTATGTGGATGATATCATTGTCACTGGCTCCACCCCGGCCTTAATACGTCAGACTATTGACTCATTGGCCCAGCAGTTCTCCATTAAGGATTTAGGCGCCTTACACTATTTCTTAGGCATGCAGGTTACTCCTACACCAGGTGGACTCTTTCTTGATCAACACAAATACATTATGGACTTGTTGAAGATATTAAAAATGGATGAGGCTAATCCTGTGGCTACACCGTTAGCTTCTTCTGCTTCCTTATCTCTGTTTGATAGCTCTGGCTCCTGTGATGCCACTCTCTATCGCCAGGTTCTCGGGTCCCTTCAATACTTGAATCTTACCTGCCCAGACGCTGCTTTTGCTATCAACAAATTGGCTCAATTTATGCATAAACCTACGGTTAATCACTGGCAGCTTCTGAAGCGTCTTTTGCGGTATCTACAAGGCACTGCCTCTCATGGCCTCCTTGGTTGCAGCACTTCTCCCTCTCTCCGTGCCTTTGCTGATGCCGACTGGGCAGGGAATCCCGACGATCGCTCATCTACTAGTGCTTATGCTATCTTTCTCGAGGAGTCCCTTGTATCTTGGAAGTCAGTAAAGCAGCGCACTATTGCTAAGTCCTCCACGGAGGCCGAATATCGAGCTCTTTCCACTGCTGCTTCAGAAATTATTTGGATTGAGTCTCTCTTACGTGAGTTGCGGCATCCGCTCCTTTCTCCCCCACTCCTCCTTTGTGATAACAAAGGTGCTACAACGTCTTCCGCAAATCCTGTCTTTCACTCTCGCATGAAGCATGTGGCTATTGACTTTCATTTTGTTCGGCAGCGAGTTCAACGCGGACTTCTTCAGGTTCATCACATCCCATCTTCTGACCAAATCGCTGATGCCCTCACCAAACCGCTTCCTCGGCAACATTTTATTCTTCTCAGAGACAAGCTCAGGATTCTTGGGAGTGACAGAATACCTGGCTTGCGGGGGCGTATTGAAGGAAAGAAATAATTGGGTTTAAAATAGAATATTATGATTAGCCGTTACATATCATTATCATTTAATATTGTATTATTACTTACCATATAGATGAGGTTACTACTTGTATAAATAGCAGCCTTTGTAACTCATTTGACACATTAAAAAATATATTCAAAAAATCGTTTCTCTCTTCTCGGTTACCTCCGTCCCCCTATAATTGTCCCATTTTTCCATTTTTGGATGTCCCCATATTCTTGTCCCATAACATATTTGGTAACATTTGTGTGGCTCTAATTCTTTCCTACTTTATTGCCACTTTATCAACTCATTATCAACCACATAATTCTACTTTTCTTAGAAACCACACCACTCCCTTCCGTCCCAATATTAGGGGGACGGAGGTAGTATCATATAAGAATTTTAAGAGGTTAACTGGCACAGGGCCTCATTAAAATGGATGACACAGATGGTGCACACTTTTTTAAGGATCTAAGGTGGATAGGTGACATGTGGGCATTTCTAGTTTTGTGCCTTCAGTTTGAGCTTCTTAAACTTCAGGGTTTACAGAAAAGAGATTTACTCTTTACGATTGTATTTACAGAAGAAATAACAAGAGATTTTGTTGGGAACTACAGTTTTGTAGCAAAACAATACTCCTTCTGTCCCAAAATGATAATCCTATAACTTTTGGGCATGCAGATCAATAATGGGCACCACATTTCCACTTCTACCGTTCATTTATTTATTTGGGCTATGACAATTGACTTTAGGTAGAGGCAACTCCGCTTCCATCCTCATCAAGCCATCCCTCTTCATCTGAATTTGACTATCCTCAAAGGTTCAAACCCTAACAATCTTCTTCCTCCAAATCGGAGGTGGTGCTTCAAATTCGTCTTCGCCCCTCCACTAATTGCCTGGACTCGAGCTTCACCCTTCTCTGGTGTAATTACCCCCAAAATGGGACACTCCCTATTCTCAGTGTAACTTTCCTCAAAATGGGACATAATTGCCATTGTGGAGCTTAGCCTTTCCCCATGCTTTTTTCCTTGTCAGTTTTAAAATTATCTCTTAATCGTTATGCTATTTAAAACATTTCTTCTTCATCCATTATCTACCCCCCAGCTTATGTAGTCACGTGTTCTGTTGATAGCTTCGCCCGCTTGTCGACCCTCTCTCTTTCTCTCTCTGGATTTCCTATAGGACTGATGTAAGAAACTGGAGAGGGATAAAGGGGATGGAGACCTAATGAAGGAGGGAGAGAGAAGGAGCTAGTTAAACAGAATACGGGGGAATTATGGGTAAGGGGTAGAATGTAATGTGAAGGGTAATTATATAGAATGTGAAGGTTAAAATTGAAATTGTATCTAAGAAATGGCAAAAAAGGGCAACATGACTATCAACTTGGGACAGCCCAAATGGAAATACATACACGACTATCATTTTGAGACGGAGGGTGTATCATATATGAACAAAGAATGTGGACTCAAATAGGGCCTCATTTTTTTGGATGATACAGATGACCGCCTCCTAAGGAGTAATGTGTTTGTTAATTCACATACTATAATGGGTTCTAAAATGACCTAGCCACTGACGGACTTAATAAGATCCCACATATACTGTTAGTAATTCGACACTGCTTCACTATATACATAAGACCACGATCTTTTAGTGATGAAAAGGATATTGCCTAACTCTCTATCACTCGTTTGTAGAGTGTAGACTGATTAATCGAAAGGATATTCCCAGATGCTCAGATGTAGAAATGTAGAATGAATAGTCAGCTATTAAAATCAAAGCTTACCGCCCTCTACTGGTGGCAGAGGGAAGTCCCTCAGCACCTGCTCCAAATGCTCTGAGCTCTCACGACTCACAACGCGAGCCACAAGGCCCTCCAAGATTTCTCCTTGCACCTTCATATGATCTTTTGATCCTGTGCATGCATAAAAGAAGGGGGTAAGGAAAAAAATTATAAAATAATACTCTGTATTAGAAAGAATGCAAGCATGACAGCACTCTTGGCTATTGATATCTGAAGGTTGTAGAAGAGGTTAGAGACACCTTAAATATGATTTTAATAAGAAGGAATACTTGCAGGCCGATTAATAACATATAATCTTGCAATTTGGTTGTATGTTTTGATCAAGGAATACTTACATATAATTTGTTTGAGCATGGTATGTTATGGAAGTGATAATACATGCTACTCAACTCAAGAATATATGTCGAAGTACTTTTTATAATATTATATACACAATAGGAGAAATGGTCTAGGACAAAATAGAGCTAGAGCACTTAACCCCCCACCACCAACCCAGTAGTATGAGGGCATTGACATCATTCCCAGCTTGTTAGATTTATAATCAACCTTGTTGCTATTGAATCCTTTCTTGAATAAAATTTCATATTGTTCTCCATTCTGAATGCGAGCTTTGAAAATCAAACGCAACTGAATCTTCTCCAAAATAAAAACGACAATTCATCCCAGTATGCTTTGCTCAATCAGAAAACACTAAATTTTTACTTCCTAGAAATATCAATTTTGTATTGAGTGATTAATTGTCACACCTATTCCATCTCAAACTGCTTCTTACTTTTCCACGAAACCAAGTCACTTGCCACAAATACAGAATACACTGGAATAGATCTTGTAGCAGTTGGTGACCTAGAGATTTCATCACTACTGGTATCAGTGTATGATCATAATCAGCATGCATAATTCCATATTTGTTTGCATGGTGCACTCATTACATATTGCCAATCTGAATTGATGAATCCCAAGGAGCCATTGTACAACCCTTCAAAAGCTGATTTATTCTACTAACTCGGGAGGATAGAAGCTATGGGCGAGTGATAGCTAGATAACTGAGCTTCCTAACAACCATACTCTCATGTTTTTAAAATGACTCCACTTCACGGGCTATCAACTTGACATTCTGATCCCTTAGATTTCAACACGATTTACATCAATTAAAAAGGTATCCAAGAGCAAGCCACTCCTTGGAGTTCCAAGAAGAGAAGCAACAAGGTCCAAGGGAAAAATCACTGTTTCCGACCTTCGCTTTTGGTACCAGCAATGCTGACCCCGTGACAACACAATGCTTTTCCATCCACTACAGCTCCAACTAATGAGGAAAAAATCCTGAAACCAAGTTGGCCAGAGGAGAATTGAACATATCATATTTGAAACCTTGGTGCTCACCGAAGATTCACCATCACCACAAAGAACAAATCTGTAACAGACGTAATTGATCTTCTCTCTCCACAGATCTCATACTCGCCACAAATATCATATCATATAAGTTGTCACAAACTTCACATATGTCTGATCTAAATGGTTGAGACTTCAATCAGATATTAACAGGTATGCAGATAATTCAATCTTTTTTTCTTTTATATTTAAGACTATGGCGCATGATATAAGGTAGCATTATCATGAGACTAAAGCAAAATAGCAAATAGATCATAGCAATATATGAAGCGGCATCTGAAGTGTTGCTCAAGCATGAAGTAATACATGATCTCCACATAAACAAAAATGGGTTTCCAGTACTTCTGTACAGTACAAAAGCTTAAACTAGACATCAGTACTCCCATACAGCATAAAACCATTTCGGAAAATTTTAAACATAACAAGTTGTCCTGATTAGAAAAAAACAATCAAACATACCCGGGATAGATATATCAGCAACTTCATCTAAGGCGTTGCAGACAGAGGTTGCTGTTCCCTCCTCACAGAGTGCATCATAGGCAGCAAAAAAGGATGTCACTGACTTCCTTCAAAATGGAAGAAACAAAAGCCAATATTTCAAATATCAGTTTTCTTCCAACACATCCTTCATATGTACATTTTTGGAAGTAAAAGACACATCAACTAGTACTTTAAATCCCAATTCTCATATGGATTACAATAAGACAAGAAATAAAGGTTTTTTATGCATTGCAATCTAGACCAATCCTTTATCTTTAGATATTATTATTCAATAGCAAACTTTAAGAGCTCAAAGAAAGAAAAGTCAATGATTTATGGGAAAACTGTCAAATAGGTCCTCGAACTTTCATAAAAAGGTCAATTAAGTCCTTCTATAGGAGGTTTTGTCCGGCCGTCGTGATTTGGGGCAGTTGCCGGTGGAATTTTTTGATGAATTTTTTTGAGCATCTTATTCACCAAGTCTAGTTTACTCATACCAAATTTCAGCTAAAAATTTAATCGGGAACACATTCAAATTAATTCTTGAAGATAACTGCGCATTTTTGCGTTCTCGAATTAATTTGAATGCGCTCTTGATTAAATTTTTAGCTGAAATTTGGTATGAGTAAACTAGACTTGATGAATAAGATGCTCAAAAAATTTAATCAAAAAATTCCACCGGGAACCGCCCCAAATCGCGACGACCTGACAGAGTCTCCTATAGAATAGAAGGACTTAATTGACTTTTTTATGAAAGTTCGAGGACCTATTTGACAGTTTTCCCATGATTTATTGATTTAAAGAGTAGTTTGTTTCCATTACCTCCTTCATGTACACATTTTTTGAAGTAGAAGACACCAACTAGTAATTGCAATAAGACAAGAACTAAAGCTTTTCCATTACCTCCTTTATACTCCTAATTGTCATATGGTTTACAATAAGACAAGAAATAAAGCTTTTTCATGCATTGCAATTTAGACCAATAATTTATCCTAAGAGATTATAATTCAATAAAAACATCAGGAGTTCACCCAACCATTTCCAAACATATCAAATTATTAGGCTCAATATATCAAGACTAGGCTATAACATAAAAACAGTAGAAATAAAGGATTGCATCCATGTAGAGGTGCAAGATATTGCATTTAGTACAGAAGCAACAAAATTTCATCCAAATATCTGTGCACATGAAAGCAAATGAAATGGATCACAGTGGAGAATTTGAAATCCCGTTCTTAATAAATCACCTTGTTGAGAATAACCACACATGATTTGTTGGTAGGCGCCATTTTCGACAAAAAGCAATTATATCTGGAGTTGAGTAAAACTTTGGTTTTCCATTCCCCAGTTTTGTTACTGCAGTAACGACCACTGCTCGAAACAGGATAACATCAGGAAGTGCAGTACCAGTACAATGCACAAAAAAGAAAGAAATTGACAACTCCAACTATCCTTCTACAAAAAAGGAAAACAGTAATATCTGAAAGGTGTAATGTTAACTAAAAATAGGAATCAAATCAGTATTAGAAATTGCTCACAATAGGATCAAAACATAGGCAAAATTATAAAGTAGGATCAAGTATGTTTACTTTCTAAAATATGACTTGTTTAGTCCTATTATAAGAATAAGAGAATAAAGAATCCCCTAAATAGGAGTGCATGAGTCCTATTTTGGAAAGAAAACAATGTAACCACTAACTCCTATTTGAGAAAATTTGCAATGTTTCTCTTATGTAGGGAATTTTCTCTATCAGTAGCTGGTATCCAGATTTAATAAAATGATCTATTCTTTGTTGATTATACAAAAAAGTAGTAGCATATTTGAAATTGACATGAACAAGACTTAATCATCCAGATTTGTGGTCACCGTGTTTTGAATTACATTATCAAGGGTTAGATTTTTCTTTCACGATTGAAATAGTGAATTGCACCAAAATCTGTTAGATATGGTGCATCAAGTCATTACTCATTAGCCAGCTGAATGAACCACACTTCATTTTGCTCCATTACCATAATCTTCTCGTGGGCGTTGCCCATGGTCGCCCAGTACAGCAGTCACTAGCTCCATTGATATGCACATGCGCTGTTGCTGAAAAATCATGACTGATCATATTATCATTGTTGTAAAAGTTAAGATCTTTCAAAGTCATTACCAGAATAAGAAAGTCATTTATTCAAGTAGTGTTTTGATACTCGATAGCATAAAATGCAACATGTGAAATAAACAAACTAGTGCATGATATATTATAAGATCATGGAAGATAAAAGAGCAATCAAGTAAAAGATCGAGGAGCGACAGCTCATAGCTTTGCTTGATTGGTTTTTATTTTAGTTTGGTTTTAGCATCCTCATTAGCTCATCTATTTTAGGAATAGCTGGGATTTTTCCTTTTTCAGTTTTAGGAATTTCCATTTTCCATGTATGTAATTTCTATTATAAAAGGGGAGCTTTGCTTGTGAATAACATATTCAATAATGAAATAAGAGAAACCAAGGTGAACGAAAATTCCCCACATTCCATGGAAGACGGAGAACTCTTTGAAATCCCTCTGCCCCCTCCATTTTATCCTTTGAATTCATTCATGTGATGCAAAGAACCCTAGTACGTTTCATATCGGTACCATTTCCCAACATCATGGAAAACTAAACACTTGCAGATGATAATACATACTCCTCTCAGAAATACAGAAGGAACTGCACAAATTCACAAGCCAAGGGCACCTTCACAAGGCGAAGCCACTGCATCCATTACATAAGTAGGTATAGAAACATCCTAACCACATTGACAAACATTCCCAACCAGTGGACTCCTTTGAAGCTGAAGAAGCACTCCAATCATTAAACACTTCATCTGTTAAATTTCTGCCTAAAAAGCTTTCAACATTGTTACCACCACAGCAACTCCTGGAGCCAATGCCGTCTGCAAAACTGATAGTGCAGACTGCTCTACCTGCAAACTTCTCATAACTGCTTGGACTTTTTGGATCCATTTGGTACACTGAAATTGCTCTAGCTTACCATTATCTTTCAAGGAAATTTCTAATGGATGTTGCTCATCTTCACTTTCAACAACCTCCACATATTCAATCTTTTTCAAGAATACAAGGATGCTTGGACCGCTAGAACTCTTTAATGGTGCAACCATTCAGCGCCAAATTCAACTTATCATGCTCGAGGACATGCTTGATTTTCCGGAAGGGGTGTAATCACACATGCTACATTATAAGACTACGGAAGGATAAAAGAGCAACCAAGTAGAAGATTGAAGAATGAAGAGTGCAACCTGATTGATATGCACAGTTGATTTTATTTTCATTTGATTTGATACCTTCATGGCTGATCTATTTTAGGAAGTAATTTACTAGGAAATCTTCCTTTCCTTGCTCAAGTAATGTCTTTGAAAGTAATCTCTATTATTAAAGGGAGCTTTGATTTGCTAATAAAACATTTAAGAATGAATGAAGAAGAAATGAAAATGGAAAACTTCCCAAATTCCAAGAGCTGAGAAGAACTCCTAAAGTTCCACTACCCCTTCGGATTATCCTTTTAATTCATCTGTGACACATAGAATCCAAGCGCATGACACAACCTCTTACAATATAACTTAATGTCATGATAGACCTACAAAAGGAAAGCGCACTGCCATGTGATGCTCAAATAACGGAGTGTTTGCAAACACTTTTTAGAAGTACTTTTCAACTTATTTTCTGAAATAAGCTAAAAAGGGTGTTTGCAAGTCCCCACTTCAGCTTAATTTAGAGTGATTTCCAGCCAAAAGTTCAAAGTAAGTATATGGATGCTTTTAATAGCTTCTTGTTTTTTTTTTAAATACTTACAACTTTGAGGATGATTATTAGTTTAAATATTTGAATTAGACCCAAACTACCCTCCCTTCATCTCTCTTGCTGCCAGACCTTGCCTCATGGACTGCTTCTGTTCCACGAACCCCGCCGCCATACCCCATCGGATTCTGGTGGTCACTGTTTCGCAGGCGACGCCGTGCCATAACAAGATCGGAGACATTTGCTACTATGCCTCTTCAAGAACAAGTTGAAGTACTGCCGAATTCATGGTCACGATATCTTCTACAACACTGTCCTTCATCCCAAGATGTTCTCCTTCTGGGCTAAAGTTTCGGCAGTCCGGGCCGCGATGATGGGTCACCCGGAATCTGACTGGATTTGGTGGGTTGACTCGGACGCCGCTTTTACCGACATGGACTTCAAGCTCCCGCTCGACCGGTACAAGGACCACAACATGGTGGTCCGTGGGTGGCTGGACCAGATAGAGAAGAGGAGTTCCCAGATTCTTTTTGTTTTGTTTGACTTTTGGTCTTCTCTTTTGGGAGCAGTACTTTTGTTTATATGATGGAAGACGGCTCAGTTAATAGAAATATAGAAAGGGCATTTTGTCTTTAACAAAATATCACATCAAAAATCACTTTGTTAACAAACAATCCAACTTTTACAGTTTAACTAAAATCACTTCTATTTCCAAACACTACATACTTATACAGATATACTATAAATCACTTTTTCAATAATCTCTTAAAAACATTACTTTTGAGAAGCAAAAGAAAATGCAAACACTCCCTAAATGCAGCATTGGTTTCTATATTCAAAGAAACCATATATCTAACTATGAAAGAAGCAGATTGAGCTGCAAATCTGCAACATTAGGTTATGTGATTCGGTAAGTCCAATATGATCATTATCTCTACAATAGACATCACAAAAGACTTCAAAGTATTGACCTACCAAACGTCTCATAGTATCATGGTCTCCTACTCAGTCCTCCCTATGTTATTTTTGAAATTCAAACACTAAACATGTTTCAATAAATAATTTCCATCATAAGAGAGGACAAGGCAAAGCAAAATTTTCAAATAAGTACCTCAAGATATTTATTGAATTCTTGTTGCTTACTACTTGCAAGAGGACCCCAAGCTTCTTTAAGCATCCTGCCTAAAACAAAGACGCCAACAGCAGTATAACTGCCAAAACATAAAATTTACAATGTTCAATTCATCTATATAAAAAGTAGATGCTTGCGAGGGTCAGTTTATATATTAAAGGAGTAGGCACGAGTGCATATAAGAGGCAACAAACAATCACAAAGTTCAAGATCGATATATACATTTCACATTAAAATTCTTAGAACCGTTCCAAAATTTATGGCCCAATCCTAAAATGTGACTTACATGATGCATTACATGTGGGGCTTGAAGTCATTATGAAGTTCAGCATTTTACATTATTCAAATAACAAACCTGTCCAATGTAAGAGTTCCAACCTAAATAACACTTTCTTCCTAACTCCATTACTGTAATCAAACACCATACAACAGAACAAAATAGAGAGACAAAATAACATTGAGATAATACTGTTCATTGGAGAATTAGGTGTTAGACATGTGCATCTGGATTTGTAATGTTACATGTTTCATCAATCAGGCAGCATTTAATGATTCAAAACTGATGATTAATTTCAATTACAGAACACATCAATCACGCAGCACATAATAGTTAAAAACCGATGAATGATTCAATTACAGAGCACTAGCACCATAAAGATCACATGAATTAATGAAAAAAGACATAAAAGAGGCAATCCGCCAAAGAATCCCACCGCAAGGGCAATGCCTTATGAGATAAGCAACACTTTTCACTTGCTTTTACAGAGAAATCGTATAAAATGAGAAGTTGAGAACATAAAGATTGAGAATGATATAACCAGACAGCAGAGATGATCATGATCAGGAACCTACATGTTACCGAAGCTATTTTTCGCATATGCTCCACCCTCATTTCCAGCATACATAAAAAGAGATCCTGAATGTTTAAGAGATACCTGAACGAAATCCATTCCAAAAGTGGCACTAAACTATATAAATATCCAACTGGGCAATTCAGTATTCTTAAAATAGAACAAAAAGGAATGTGCTGTTAGGCTAGAAGAAAATTAATTGAAGTTCCAACATGCTTAAGTGGGAAGTATGTCACTACAAAAACGAAGTCCTACCTCCACTGTCGCCAAGCCTTTAGTTACCATCTCAATCATTCGTGCTCTCATCTGAAAAATCACTAAAATAAATTAACTCAACTCTCTTCAAACATCATTTTAACTACATTGAATCGTAAATTACCTCTTGATCAGACTTCTCATTTTCAAATTTTGGATAGAAAGTTGCTCTTACTTGAGCTTGGGCAAATGTTGACTTGTCGACCGTAAAATTCTCCAGTAAATTACTGAGAGAAGCGTTGTTTTTCTCATGTGATGGTTTGTTAGCCACATTAACACGGACTTCAGCTGATGCTTGACTAGTTGAAGCATTTTCAACTTCAACCGCGTCTGATCCACTTACTTTCCCATAAGATTTCTGCTTCCAGACCCCGGCCTTTTGATTATGAGCTGGTGTCTTATTCATCACTCCAATGCCTCCAGCCTGCAGATGCACCTGTGGAACACCGTGTTGCTTACTTTTCCCAGCGATATCCAGAGACTTGATCCCGGTGGTGACATCTTCAAGGGCAGCAGCAGACACAGGCTCCATTTTTGAGGACTGGCCAGGCATCACACTGGAAGTCACCTTTGGTTGCCACCTCTGTTCCCTAAAGCCACCTCGTTTCTGTATTTCACAAAAATTAAAGCATATTACCACCTCATTCCAAATCGCTAGATTATCCCCTCTAAAATATGATCATATAATATCGTAAATAGACACTTAAAATGAACATGCAGATTAATAATTAAGGAAAACAGCAATTGTCTCTGTCATTTCAATTCAGGATCATTGATAACCTACATCACATCGGCCTCTAATTTGAAATACGCCGGGATGAACCTACCTGCCGGTGAGACGACATGGGTGGATAGAAGAGTGAGCTGGAGAACGTGAGAGAGCGAGAGCGGATGAAGATGAAGGTTCTGGAATAGAGAGAAGCAGGCGCAGGAGATGAAGAGCGGGAGTAGAGTGAGACGGTTAGCCCGAAGATGATCCTCTGGGACGCCACGCCAACATTCATAGGAACGAACTTTGCGCGAATGCGCAAGTAAATATGAAAATTTCAAGGGAGTGGCGTAAATTAGCTGGGAAAGCGTATGGCGGCGCAACCGCCGAGTCAATCGGTCGCTTCAAGCCTAAGAGGGGGGTTGGACTGTGTGCATATCCCCAAAATTTCTATAGTACCCAAAATGTACCCTGTTTTGTACCTACCATCTGAATTGTCTATATACATAGGCAGTTTGTTTGAAAGAGGGCAAAACTTTCTGTCCAAATGTCTGTATACACAGACGTTGTACATATTAGGGTACAAATTGGGGTACCCCAAGTAGGACTCTATCCCTTGTCAGCGTCTAACCCACAAAATAAACCATTTTGGATTTCTTTTAGAGAAAATTACCCAAATGGGACCACATAAGACTTTAATTGCTAAAATAGGACTCCAACTTAACTAAAATTTTTGTGGGACTAAAAAGGGTGCGAATTTCCAAATTTGACCTCCATGTCCACGCGTGTAAGGAAACGTCTTTAATGCCGTTTGCGTTTCCTAAATATTCGGTACTCAAGCCTCAAGCCGGAAGTTAAGTTTCCAAAGATGGCAAGCATTTAAAAAAAGTAAAAACTACTTGCATGCGTGAGAGTGACGTGCACTTTGTCGTGGTGTGCAGTCAAAATAAATATCAATACAACAAATATACGTAGTATATTGAAGTAAGGTTCGTATCCACAGGGAAAGGAACACTTTTCTTTTTAAAGAAATAAATAAGTAACAAGGGGGGGGGGATTTTTATGTTTGGTTGATGAACTTTAAATTATATTTAAACACAAAGATGAACGACTTATGTGGTTTAATTAATGAGAAGATGACTTGGCTTTGCTTTTATCCACTTAATGAAATGTTCGTCGATCCCGGTTATATCTTTAACCATCTTCCTCTCGAATACTCAATCGAGGAGTATTTCTATTCATCGAGGGTAGTTATTAATAACGAGAAGCGTTCATTAATAAAACTTACTACCGAGTTAATATAGAACACGCGCCGTATATTCACTCGATAGTAGCAATAAAATCAAGATGAAAACGATTGAGATTGATAACTTCAACACAAGCGGTTTATTGGTTTAATCAATATAATTAATTCCCCTTAGGTTATTAACCATGAGACGCATGCATTAAACAACCCAAGTTTACTACCGTGAAAGGACCGAATTAATAACAAGCGTATTAATCGACCGATTCTAGTATTAATTAATATATGAAACAAAACTAGTTGATCCTTTAAGTAATGCTCAAAATATTAATATGAAATAAGAATAGGAATTAATTAATATTCAAGGAATAAGATTAAAGAAAACATCTCACAACTTACAATTCATTAAGCTTCAAAGTAGCAAAACCAAGATGGAAGAGTTTAGCTCCTCATTTGGAGACTAAACATGAAGAAAATATAAAGAAATAACTTGTCTATGTGAGTTGGTGCTTTATTGTGGAGGAAATGAGGTGTATTTATAGGCTTTTTAGGCCTGCAGGGTCGTGTACCCGATCGGGCTTTCAGCTTAGGAGTATATGTGAATTGGTGCTTTATTATGGAGGAAATGGGGTGTATTTATAGGCTTTTTAGGCCTGCATGGTCGTGTACCCGATCGAGCTTTCAGCTCACTCGATCGGGTATAATATGTGGTTTCCTCGAAGCTGGAAAATGGGGTCATACCCGGTCGGGTCTGTCAGTCACCCGATCGGGTATGACACCCGAACGTGTTAAAATCCTCCTGCATGATGCCTTGTTCCCGGATTTGATTTGATTCGATTTTTCAGAAGGGTACCCGACCGGGTATAGGTCATACCCGACCGGGTACAGACCAAAAAACGAGATCTTCACTTTTTTTCTTGCATTTTTGCACCTTTCTTCCACTTGTGATGTTCACCCACGGTCCCCAAAGTGTTCTTGGACCTGTTTGAGCTCAGAATAAACCTAATCTAAACAAATTACAAATATTTTACAAACTAAACTATTACACCAAAAGTGTGTAATTTCCAAAGTAACAATCAATCTAAACTAATTAAAAGCACAAACATAACACATGGAAATTACATGAATGTCAGAGAGAAATTCGGCAAACGTCAACTGCTACTGCGAATCGAAGTTTGAAGACGATTATCTGTGAAGCTTCAATGGAGATTGATGATTCCGATTTCGAAAGTCTGAATGACGATTCTGACTTTCAACCGAAAATGCCAACTTCGCTTGACATTAGAATCAACTCCAAAATGATATGTATTGCTTCTATTAAGTCATTTTTGTATAGTATGTTGATCGGAAATGACAATATGTTGACTGAAATGGAATTATTTGGATAAATTTGAAAGTTATATGTATGTTGTTCATGTAAGTAATATGTAATCGCAGTAAGGTGATTAATGACAATTTCAAACTTATGTAGAACAAATCAAAGGATTAAAGGCATTTGTACTTTGCTTAGTCCTATGTCTACTTTACTTTGTATTGGCATTATAGGTTTTGTGTAGGCAAATATGTAAAACTGCTTTGACAATGGAAGAATAAGAAATTCATGTGATGTTTTTAACAAATGCTAATTTGTTGGTTTGTTTGTGGTTGATGAAAAATGTGAATGCCATATATATATATATGTTATTTTGTTGCCTATAAATGACAATATGCTGTCTGAAACAAGAATTAGTTGAATAATTTTGAAAGATATATGTGTGGTGTTGATGTAAGTAAGATGTAATGGCAGTAAGATGATTAATGACGTAATTACATAATTGCGTAGGACAAATCAAAGGATTTAAGGCATTTATACTTTGATTAGTCCTATGTCTACTTTAGTTAGTAATGGCAATATAGGTTTTCTGTAAGCAAATATGTAAAAGTGCATTGGCAATGGAAGAATGAGAAATTCATGTCATGTTTTTAACAAATGCTAATTTGTTGGTTTGTTTGTGGTTGATGAAGAATGCAAATGCCATATATATGTTATTCTGATGCCTATAAATGACAATATGTTGTCTGAAACAGAATTAGTTGAATAAATTTGAAAGATATATGTGTGGTGTTGGTGTAAGTAAGTTGTAATGGCAGTAAGATGATTAATGACGTAATTACAAACTTACATAGGACAAATCAAAGGATTAAAGGCATTTATACTTCGATTAGTCCTATGTCTACTTTAGTTTGTAATGGCAATATAGATTTTCTGTAAGCAAATACTCCCTCCGTCCCAAAATGGTTGGCCAAATTTCCTTTTTTGGCCGTCCCAAAAAGGTTGGCCATTTCCATTTAAAGTAAGAAATATGTGGCTAAAGTTAATTCTCTCTCCTCTGCACAAATTTCAACCACACAGTTTTTACTTTATTAATCCACGTGCAAGTCAACATTGGCCAACCATTTTGGGACGGAGGGAGTATGTAAAATTGCATTGACAATGGAAGAATAAGAAATTCATGTCATGTTTTTAACAGATGCTAATTTGTTGATTAGTTTGTGGTTGATGAATAACGCAAATGCCATATACTTGTATATGTTATTCCGCTGCCTGTAAATGACAATATGTTCACTGAAACAGATTTAGTTGGATAAATTTGAAAGATGTGTGTGTAAACTTAATACAAAAATACAAAAAGAATAAAAACTAGCATAATCATGGCATTCTGTAGTGCATTTTTAACCAGTGAATTTAATCGATTTCTTTTTTAATAGACAATAACAAGGTATTTTACGAGGACGATTTTGTCAAAATTAGATGACATGCGTGTCAATTGCTACTGCAATCTGCTCAAAGTGATGGAAAGGGTAAAGAATATTATGAGTAAAGAGGAGTTGGAGGATTTCAAAGAAAGTGTTTTTGGTTGGCTTGTAGATTTTGATAGCATGGATTGGATTAGTGGACAGCTACAGCTTGGGTTTGTAGGAAACTATGTGCAGTATGTTAATGGGCTGAAAGAAAACAATGTGATATGATTCCATATCCGAAATAGTGTAATAAGTTTCACAAAGCAGGATTTGGCAATAGTCACCGGTTTAAAACTGAGCGGGGACAAACCGGTGGTGGCATAAGAGCACATGGGAGATATCTGGAATAGGTATTTGGGAGGCAAGACATCAGTTACAAGGAGTGACATTTTAAAGGCAATTAGTAATTACAAGAGTACTAATCCAGTAACTATGAGGTATGATGGGGTGAAGCTGTCACTTCTCTATATACTTTCACATGGGTTCTTAGGAAATCAAACAACAAAACCACCTGAAGAGCAGCCCAGAATGACTAGAAATGCAGCACGCTAGAAGAATGTGATGGATGGTTTACACTCAAGTTCTCAAGCTTCAGCCAGTAGGCTTCCCAAACTTCCCTCCAAATCTTCCCAATGAATTTTCTGTTTTGGAATGTTAGAGGACTGGAAGCCTCTTCTTCCAGGCTTATTTCTTTGATAAAACAGTGGAAAATTTCTATTTTAGTTACTATTGAACCTATTGTGGATTTTAATAAAGCTCAGGACTACAAAGCTATACTTGGTTTTCAGGAAGTGCTCTTTTCTCCCTTGAATAAAATTTGGGTCTTTTGGAACCCGAATGTTGTCTCTATTTTTGAGGTGGAATGGCATTCACAGTTTGTTCGTTTGAAGGTTGTTAAAAGTGGTTTTCGGGGCTGGTTGACTGCAGTATATGGGAAACATAATCATATCACCAGAAGGATACTATGGAGATCTTTGCTAGCAATTTCTAATACTATGTATGATCCTTGGATTATCGGTGGCGATTTCAATGCTATTGCTAAGCATAATGAACATAAGGGTAACAACACTCCTATTCTAGATAGTATGGTTGATTTCTCTGATTTTATTTCAACCTGCAATCTTACAGAACTTCCTCACCAAGGCTCTCAGTTTTCTTGGTCTGGCATTAGATCAAATGGGTGGGTCTGGAGGAAATTGGATAGAATTTTGATGAACTCTCAATTTTCTGATCATTTCAACTCCATTCAGATCTCATATTTGGATAAATCCCCATCCGACCATAATCCTATTCTGGTTCAATGTTGCAACAATGATTCAATTGGACCCAAATCTTTTAAATTTCAGAATATGTGGTTGTGTCATCCTTCTTTTTCAGATATGGTTCAGAAGATTTGGGCTGCAAGTAATTTGGGGGAGGCATGAGGGGCCTGGTC